TGTATATCAAGTTATGTACCTAGCAAGGGGAACACAAACATTTCCATGAGAGAAAATCTAATCTAAAAAGAAAAGAAAATGAAAGCAATAAAAACCTCGGGTTACTTCCCGAGAAAGGCTTGTTTAACGTCCAAGCGAGACCACTCTAATAAATAATATTGCAATGAACGCAAGAGCTTATCAAATGCACTACTACACATTTCATATGATAACAAGTAGGCAAATTACGGGAGGAAGACATGCAACAAGATTATTGCACGTAAGTGAGGAGGAAGATGCCAAAAGAAAGAAGAAAAATCAAAAGAAAAATCAAGAAAATAAGAACAGAAATAAGAAGAAAAATAAGGAAAAGAATAAAAAGACAAAATCTCCTCAAAATCTTTTTGAGTGGCACAATCAACCATTTCCTCAATAATAGGAGGACGAAAAGGAAGAGTCTCATCAAACAAGAGAAGGTCCTCAATAGGCTCTTTGACAAAAGAAGGGAGGAACATGGGATAGTAGGAGATGTGGTCACAAGGAACATGAGGAAGAGGAGGAGAAACAATGGTCTCACAAACCCTCACATCATTATTGAGGGCATGAAAATCAATCATAGAATCCTCAAAAGAACATTCATGACTCACATCTCCCTCAAACAAAAACTCTCCCATAAAAACAACCTCATCCTCCTTTCTATCACAACGATGAACAACAACTCCCTCAAGATCCTCAAAGCCTAGAGTCTCTAAACCATGCATGAAAGGATAAAGGTTTGTCTCAAACTCATCCCTTTCCCATGAAGCATTGCCAATGAACTCTCCCAAAAGGCTATAATGTTTTGTTACACCTTCAATGAACATACTAGCCATAACCTCAAATGAGTCCAAAGACTCATGGATAGAAGGGTCAAAAACATGCAAGGTGGACTCATCAAGATGGGGAAGGGGGTTGGAAACCTCAAAATCGACATTTTCTTCATTCCCAACTCTTCCACCATCACTCAAGGGACTCTCAATCTCTCTTGATTTCTCAAACTCACCATCATCATCCTCATGAACTCCCTCATTCAAACATGAATATGGCTCACTTATATCCTCACCAAGGGAAGCTCTCAAAGGGGGTGAATAAGGGGAAGGATGGCAATCAAGCTCAAATAGGGAATGAAAAGGATCAAAATCCTCTCATCACAAGAAAATCTCCCCTCACCTTCACACCCTTACCCTACATCATCCTCAACAACACTCTCAAACTCCAAGTGAGGTGCCTCACGTCCATCTAAATCAAACATAGCACTCATCACTTGGGCAAGCCTTACTTCTCTCAATTTTTGTTCCTCTTGAAGCTCTTGGAGTTGTTGGGTGAGATATTGCATTTGAGAGAGAATTTGGGCATCAATGTTATTGGGTTGAGGTTCATGCTCAAAATCAAATTGCATATCATTAAAATTAGCACAAACCTTATCAAAATGAGCATAAGGGGGGAAGGTGTCAATTTGCATACTTAGATCATCACAAGGCACATAAGAAGTATTAAGAGAATTCATGCAAAACTTAGAAGAATCTTGGCATTGAGAATCAAAACAAGAAACATGAGATTCTCTATCTAAAGAATCTCTAGCAAGCCATGTGAAGAAATCCCAAGCATCATGCATAGACAAATGACAAAATCTACCATTATTCATGTCCTCAGCCATTCCCCTAGTATACTCATTCATGCCCCAATAATCTATACCACAAGCATCACTAAGAGAACACCCATGGTAACTAAGGAAACCATCTAGTCTTTCAAAGTAAGCATAGAAGGGTTCACCATCAAATTGAGGAAAAGATAAGCATGCCATTTTTATACAAAGTACAAAGAAAAGCAAACAAAAATAAAATCATATACAAGAACCTAGCTAATCTAATCAACACAAACCAATGAACGCCTTAGTCCCCGGCAACGGCTCCAAAATTTGATCGCGGGTAAGAGTAGGTCGTTGGGACTACTAACCCTAACCAAATTAGAAATTTATAATACCTAAACTTACACTAAACTAGTTAGTGGCAATTAAAGGGTCAAACCCAAAAGGACTAAGTGTATTAATTTGTGCCAACTAGACTACTAGGAAAGGTCGTGAGATAGAGAGAGGTTAAACTAAACACGACTAAGAACAAACAACTAAAACTAGGGAAAGTGGAATCCAATCACATCAATGTATTAAACAACATCATACAAATAGATAAAAATTATCTTGATTAGGAACATCAACACATTTAACTCACTCTCGCACAATTAAGCATGTTAATTATCCTACTAAACTAATTCACTCTCGTGCAACTAGCCTAGCAAAGGTATGGAAGAATTTAGGGCTCTCAACCAACTCACTCTCGCACAATTGATTGAAAGCACAATTAAGAGCATAGAATCGATTAGCTAGAAAGATTTTAATCCATAGAAGCATCACCCATACACAATAATCAAGAAACAATTTCAGACTAATCACAATCAATCATTCAATTCATTAATATAACCTTCATCCAATTCCCTAGAACAAAACCTAAGCTAACATAATGAAGAAAGACATGGACAACAAGGTAAAATAAGAATAAAAACAAGATTAAACAAACAAACTAATTAATCTACTCAAATCAACAAACAAAAAGCAAAAACTAAGGATTAAGCAAAGAAAAAAAGATGAGAGAAAGTTAGAAAATGCTCATTGAATAGATGAGAAGAAGTTCCACAAAGTTGCTTCTTCAACCTCTCAAAAACTCCATGGAAATCCAAGCTTTCTCTCTCTACACTACTCCTAAACTAGAGAGAGAAAATCCTAATGTAACCATAAGAGAGAAAATAATATAGGCTAAACTAATCTAATCTATCTAAAAATAAAATGTTGATTAAAAGTTGTGAGAAAATAACCCCAAGAGGGTATTTATAATACAAGTTAAAATAATATAAAATAAATTAAAAAGAAATAAAACTAAATAAAACAATTAAAATAACTAAACTAAAAGCCAAAAAAAACAAAACTAAAAAAAAAAATAAAATAAAATAAAATGGAAAAAGAAACCCCAAAACCCCAAAATTCCCATAAAACCCACGAAAACAATCAGACCCCCCCAATTCCCCTATTCCGTACATGGATGCTCTCATTCTATCATCAACCATCATCCAACCAACCATCATCACCGTTCATCAACACTATCATCATCTAGCATCACCAAATTCTCGGCCTTTGGATTAATTGAAGGAATTGTGGCCGTCCGATTTTCATTAAGAGTCACGCGCGAAGCTCGTGAAATGGTTGGGTCGAACCATGGGTTGGTGCGGCCGACCTACGGGGTTGGTTTGGTCGAACCATCGGTGTGTTCGACCACACCTCTTCAAATTACAAAACCTCAAAATTTTCTGGTTCGAACTTCGACCGAACTCCTATTCGGTTTGCTCGAACCCAATTAATTTGCGATTGCTCTGATTTTTGCCGTTGCTTATGCGAATTGGTGGTTTCATGGCTGGTTGTTGCATGTGGACTTTGTGGCTGGGTTGTTGTTGATGTGCGTGGTTGATTGTGGTGGAGATGGAGTTGGGGAGATGCGTGAGGTGGATTAAATGGGGGGGATGTTGCGGGGTGTTGGTGGTTCAGGTAGTTGATGTTGTTGCGTGAAGGTGAGAAGAGGAGAGGGAAATCAAGGGAGTGTGGTGGTTTTGCTGTGGTTTTGCGTGAGGGAGCAGGGGTTGCTGGTGGTTGTTTGGTAGTGTTGGTTGCTGGAGGTGGTTCTTGGTGTGAGGTTCGCAAGTGGTTGCGTGAGGTGGTTGGTTGATTGGTGTGGGTTTTGGTGGACGGTGGTGCAAGGGTTGTTGTGGGCGTTGTTGTGGCTGTTATAGGTGGTGATTGGTGGCTGCTGTTTTGTGTGGTGGAGCGGGCAGCAGTGGTGGAGCTGGTGGTTGCTGTTTTGTGTGTGGAAGTGGTGGAGCAGGGGAATGGTGTTAAGGGTGGCTGAAGGTGGTGTTGGTTGCGGTTTATGGGAGCAGGGGAATGGTGTTAAGGGTGGCTGAATGGTGGTTCAGGTGGTTTGGTGAATTGAGGGAGCTGCTAGGAGGATGAAAAAGGCTTGGGAAATTGGCTTGGACCTCGAACTCGAACCTACACATAAACAAACCCGAGAATGAAACCGAGACAAATAAAAGAAAATAAATAATAAAAAGAAACTAAATAAACTAAAATAAAATTACGACTAAAGAATAAAACTAAAGACTAAAAAAAAAAAATAAAGATAAACAATAAAATCAAATAAAATAAAAATAAGAAAATAAACTAAAACAAATCAAATAAAGATACTAAACACAAAAACACTAAAAATTACCAAAACACTCAAATAAAGGACAAAAGACAAGAATAAGAAAATAATAGAAATAAAGGATAAAAAGAGTTAAAGTATTGGAAAATAAGTCGGAAAGCCACTCAGTAAACACCCTAAAAGTGACATAAAAGTCACTTATCACACATCCCTTTAGTTTGAGGCTCCATCGAAGTATAAAGTCCAAGTATCATCTTCTATGACCATCAATTCTTCGTCTGGAAATTCATTGTCATGTATCGGCGTCGAATCCTCTATTGGAAAATCCGCTAGGAAATCCGAGACCACGGATCTTTTGATAGCCTTTTGAGGTATGAATCTCACATCGAAGCGGGCTAAATTGACTATCCACCTTGATATGCGCCTATTGAGTGTAGACTTTTCGAATAGATACTTAAGTGGATCCATTTGGGAAACTACAAAGACTGTATGCACGAGCATGTAATGTCTTAGCTTGGTTGTGGCCCACACCAATGCGAGGCACAATTTCTCAAGTGGTGCGTAGCGTATATACTACCACAAAATGGAGAATAAATAACGCATAATACACAACGGTGAAGTTGGAAATGCGATCTCTAGAATTATATAGAACGCCTATCTTAGAAGAACGTTTTGTAGGTTAAATTATATATAGCACCTCTCTATGTTAACCGTTCTATATGTCACTAATAGATTTTTCTATTTTTTTTAAACATTACCATACAATATAGAGCGCCTGTCAGACTTAACCGATCTATATGATTTTGACCAAGTGAAAATTACACGAGGCGCGCTAAATCCCGCGGAAGGAATAAGTAAATTAATTTATATTTTCAAAAGAACCTAAAAATCTTTCAAACCAAAAAAAAGTTAGAACCCAAAAACGCTACTGCTTCTTCTCCACCGCCTCTCCAATTGAATCTCCATAGCTTCCACCTCCAAGAAGAACTAAGAGAAATGTTGCTACGAAGCCGACGCTGCTACTCAAAGCTACTACTCAACGTTAGGTTTGTTTTAATCTAATTAATTACAATTTTAATTTTTCAAAGATGAACCCTAAGTATGTATTTTCATGTAATCTATTTGAATCTTTGTCAATTTCGGTTTCTAGTGATGGAATTCTTGCTAGATATAGACGAATTTTGGTATTTTGTGTTAAATTTTAATTTTTGCTGAAGGTTGACGGTTTTGATACTCCACAATTTCTGTTATGTTCTTGATTTTTACAATTTTGAACTTTGTGTGAATTTAGAAGCTTGCTTTTGGTAAACTACTCTGACATATATATATATATATATATATATATATATATATATATATATATATATATATATATATATATATATATATATATATATATATATATATATATATATATATATATATATTCATTCTTGAGTTTGGTGTATATACAATTTTTTTGTTGTGAATTTAAAGTTTGGCAGATTGCTTGATTATTGGAATTATGGATATATATGCTTAGGAATTAGGACCTTAGGTAGATAATATCGTTTATAAATATATAGATAAACATAGGGATTTTGGATCATATTACATGATCTTATTAGAATATTAGTGAGTTAAGCTAAGTGTTATGATACCCAATGCCTTTGGATGCATATTTATTAATATATATTGTTATTATAACTTTTAATATTTATTTTTATATTCTTCTTTTTATCTACTAGTGTTTTGAATGGGTAAAAGTTGGATTACAACTACCAAACCCGTGGACCCAAAATATGATCAGGGAGTTGTGGATTTTATTAAATTTGCTGTAACGAATAATGAAGGTCGTGATACTATGCCATGTCCTTGTTATACTTGCCATAATCTTAGTTATCACAAAGTCGATGTTATACTTGCTCATTTGAGTAAATGGGAATTTGATCGAACATATACTTATTGGTATCTCCATGGAGAAAGTAGAGAAGGAACATCACCAATGGGCAAAAGAATGGATGATGGTCATATTGATTATGAAGGTGATAACTTAGAGGACATGATAGATGGGTTTGAGGAAAGGGTTGAGGATGATCCTGATGTGACCGTACAGGAATCTGAGAAGCCGTTATATCTAGGTTGTGATAAGTACACAAGATTGTCAAGTGTACTTAAGCTGTACAATTTAAAAGCAGGCCATGGTTGGACAGATACGAGTTTTAGCGCATTACTTGAGTTTTTGTACGATGTGCTTCCTCCTGACAATGTTTTGCCAAGTAGTACATATGAGGCAAAAAAAATATTGTGTACAATGGGCTTGCATTATGAAAAGATTCACGCATGTCCGAATGATTGCATACTTTTTTGAAAAAAATATGAATCTCTTGGTAGTTGCCCAGAATGTAAGGTCTCAAGGTACAAATTTGAAGGAGTTCCAGCAAAGTTTTTATGGTATTTTCCCATTATCCCTAGGTTTAAAAGGATGTATTCAAATCCAGATGAAGCTAAGAAGTTGACATGGCATAAATTCGGGCGAAAGAATGATGGTTTACTTAGACATCTAGCCGATTCTCCTCAGTGGAGACTTGTCGATGAGAAATGGAGTGATTTCGGTCGAGAAGAACGAAACCTACGCCTTGCAATGTCTACAGATGGTATGAATCCATACGGCTCTCTCAGTAGCCGCCATAGTACTTGGCCAGTTATATTGGCCATTTACAACTTGCCCCCCTCCTTGTGCATGAAAAGAAAATACATTATACTCTCATTGATAATTCCTGGACCAACACAACCAGGAAATGATAGTTGTGTGTACTTAGCACCTCTTATTGATGATTTGTTATTGTTGTGGGAAAGTGGAGTTGAAGTGTTTGATGCTAATCAAAAGGAAACTTTCAATTTAAGAGCATTGTTGTTCTGCACAATACAAGATTTTCCTTCATATGGTAATCTTTCGGGGTATAGTGTAAAAGGAACAGCCCCTTGTCCTATATGTGAGACAATTGGAAGGGTGAGTATATGAAAGGATCTCATAAGATAGTGTACTTTGACCATCGTCCATTTCTTCCATGTGATCAATGCTATTGTAGAATGAAAAAGGCTTTTAATGGGAAACAAGAGTTTAATTGCTAGCCACATGTCTCTACCGGCCTTGAAGTGTATGAAAGGGTAAAAGACATTCAAACTACGTTTGGCAAGTTATAGAAAAATAGAAACGCCCTTCCCAAACAGGGTTATAAGAAGTGTTCAGAGTTTTGGCGCCTTTCATATTGGAAACATCTGTTTGTGCGACATTGTCTAGATGTGATGCACATTGAAAAAAATGTCTGTGATAGTTTGATAGGGACTTTACTAGATATTCCTGGAAAGACAAAAGATGGTAAAGGGGCTCGACTTGATTTAAAAAAATTAAAATCAGAAATGAACTCCATGCTGTTAAGTCTGGAAATAGAAAATATCTGCCCCTTGCTGCCTATACACTTTCTAGGAAAGAAAAGGCAGAAGTTTGTGCATCTTTATCTGGGGTAAAAGTGCCTGAGGGCTTTTCTTCTAATATCTCTTCTCTAGTTTCAATGCAAAATCTGAATCTTGTGGGTCTTAAGTCTCATGACTGTCATGTTTTGATGCAATATCTTTTACCTGTTGCTATTCGTTCCATTTTTCCAAAAAATGTGCGATATTCCATTATTAGATTATGTTCATTCTTTAATGCAATACACAGCAAAGTCTTCAGACCAAGCGATTTGGATTCTATGGAAACAGATATTGTTGTTATTTTGTGTCAGCTTGAGATGTATTTTCCATCCGCCTTTTTTGATATCATGGTTCATCTCCCTATTCATTTGGTGAGAGAGATTAAATATTGTGGTCCGGTGCATATGAGGAGTTCATGGCCTTTTGAAAGGCAAATGAAAACTTATAAAGATTATGTTAAGAATTTTTCTCGTCCAGAAGCTTGTATCGCGGAGAGAATGGTTTATGAATCAGCTATTGAACTTAGCATGGATCTTCTAGGAGATATGAAGACCATAGGGGTTCCTAAATCTCGACATTGTGGCCGACTTGATGGTAAAGGGACAATAGGTCGTAGAGATAGGGACTTGACTCGAGAGAAATGGCGTATGGCACACACATATATTCTTCATAATGAAGACGAAGTAGCTCCTTATGTTGAGCGACACATGTCTTTTTTAAGGAGGTTGATTCGAAAGGCTAATCCAAAAGCAATTGCTGCTGAGCATAATAAATCATTTGGTATTTGGTTCCAAAATGAGGTAATGAAAGAGTTTTAAGGTTCATCACATGCCATTTCGGATCGTCTAAAGAGTTTGGCATACGGACCAGTTTTTCAGCCACTTTTTACTCTGGTTATGTCATTAATGGCTGGACTTCTTATACAAAGGACCAAGATGAGAAGAGTACAATGCAAAATAGAGGGGTATCTTTATAAACTGAAGCAATGCATTTTGCTAGTGCGAAAGACACTCGTCCTGTTTTGTGTAAAATGCAATATTATGGGGTAATTGAAGAGATATGTGAGTTGCATTACTCTGATTTTTTGCTACCTGTTTTTTGTTGCAAATGGGCTGATAGCAATAACGTTACATATGATGACATGGGGCATACTTTAGTGAACTTTGATAGAATTGGTCATAAGGAAGATCCTTATATTTTAGCTAGCCAAGCAAAACAAGTCTTTTACATGACTGACCCATCACATAAGAGGAGGTCTGTTGTTATAACACCAAGACCTCGATATTCCATTGATGAACATGAAGATAATGCTTTGTTTGAGGAAAGGTCTGGGTTGAATGACATCCAAGTTATGGAAGATGTTGATGATACATCAACCTATATTCGAAATGACCATGAAGAAGGAATTTGGGTTGAAAACAAAGATGATACTTGTAAAAGACCTCAAAAGCGTCAAAAAAAGAATAGTAAAAAGGCAGCAAACAATGCTACAAACATAGTGGCAACATAACTTCTTTTGTAATAACCTTAACCCTTCACCCTTCTTAATTTGCAATTAGGTTCTGATTGCTGCATAAAATGATGCATTGGAACTTCGTGTATATCTTTTTTATTGCTTGCATTTTTTTGTTTCTATTTCTTTATTTATCTATGCTGACCAATTGTGTAATCATTAATAAAATTTTCTGTTTATTAGGTTGATAGCAAATAAAAGAAAACAAATATGTTCCTCTCAAGAGGCTGCTACACGTGAGAATCACAGGGGTCGTACAGTCCGTGCAGCAGTTGGAAGACCAATTCAAAGTGGCAATAAAATCCCTTTACAATGGAATCACAAAAAATTGCCTTGTGGAGATCATAAAACTGACTTTTCTACTTATATTGGTGTTGTTGTTTGCATCCGAGTAAGTATTAATTATAAGGAGTGGGAAGAAGTACCAAAAGAAGTTATCAATGAAGTTCTAGACTTTATTACGGTAAGAGCGTACATTAATTAGCTGCACACTTTCATTAAATTTTTAATTAAGTGTTTGCTTTTTTTTTATTAAATAAAATTGTATAGACCCCATGTTGCATTGTTGCGACCAGGTTGTGGAATAGTTAAGTAGGTTGCGACCTACCTGCGGTCTGATTTTTCTCTTCCTTTCATAAATTTTTACTTTTGTTAATTATTGTATATTTAGAACCTTTCTTTTCTGCTGGTTGTAAATTCTATTAAACTTAATAGTGTGCTTATTTTAATTTTTGCAGAAAGGTTTCACTGTTCCTGAAGATTGTAAAGGATATGTGATAAAACAAGCATCAAAGAGGTGGAGAGCATTCAAGGCTAGATTAAGAAAATATTTTATGTACGAGTGTGACGAGGAGGGAAATACTACAGATGTCATTATCTGGACACCACCGAGTTTGTATCCATGGATAACCGTAGATGATTGGAAAAAGTTCGTTGAAACAAGTCTTGATGATAAGTTTAAGGTAATCTTATATTCGTCACATAAATATTATGAAGTCATATAAGAATTAGCTAAGCTATTTACTAACATTATGTATATCGTACTGAAGGAATTGAGTGAACTGAATCGAAAAAGGGCTAAAAAGAGGAAGACTTCTTATCGTGGGGGTCGAAAAGGGTACTCTTATTATGAGGACGAGAGTGTAAGTTTACAATACTCCATGCTTCTCGAACAATAAATACTATACAAATAAGACTATGACTTTTCAATTGTGTACTTTTTTCAGGCTAAGGAATTGCAGAATCAAGGAATTCAAGTTGTAGATGTACCTCGGCATTTGGTTTGGATTAGAGCTCATTCTAGAGAAGAGGGAGGAGTTCTAAAATTTGATAATCTGGCAAATTTGGAAATAGCTCAAGCAATTGTAAGATTATGTATCCATATATATGTTGCATAGTCATAGACCTCAAACTGATAGTATCTTTAATCATTCTAACACAACCAGGCTAATATCTATAAATTTCAGAAAGAATTAGAGGCTCAACATAATCAAGGAGAAATTGATGCATCAGGGCGCAATGATATATTGGCAAGAGCATTAAACACTCCTGAACATGGTGGTTGTGTGAGGGCCGTTGGAGGTGTCACAAACAAGGAGTATTTCGGGTACAAGAAGCCTACACCCGCTAACCAAGTGCAATCAGAGCTCAAGCAAGTCGAAACAAAGTTAGAAAATGTGACAAACAATCAAAATTTTCTGATGTCTTTTATTATGTCTAATTTTCAATTGACTCCGGAACAATTCCAACAAATTCAACTTGGTAGTTCAAGTGCCCAATTTGGGGGATTTGGTGTCAACAAGGATGTGTACAGTGCTACATTTGGTGAATTACTTAGCAGCCATGGTTTAGATGGATCAGGTGATAGGCAAATAGTTGGTGAATTGCGTAAGAACTAATCACACCTTCTACTCATTCTATATTATCACAATCATCATCCACCAATTATGTGATCACTCCTGAGGAGAAATTGAAGTTGACCACCAGTTTGGTGCGCGTTTGTAGGAAGTTAGCTATTGAAATGAAAAGGAGTGAAAAAACCATACCTATCAAAGTCCCAAAGAATGTGTTTTATAATGAGCAGGAAATTAACATTGATTATGAAGATATGTGTGATTGGTGCTTTCAAAGAAAGATAGGAACAAGTCGCATGTCAACTTTTATGATGTAAGTGTGGTGATAATATAAATGGTGAATTTCCCTTTACTTAGTTGATTTTTTTTTTTTACTGTTCTAATTGATTTTTTGTTTTTGTTTTTATTATTATTATTAGGAAAAATTAGAAAATAACACCCAAAAATTGTCACAATTTTGATAATAACACCACAAAAAAAAAAGTTTTTATTATAACACCACAAAAAAAACCAAAAATTTGCTTTCACCACCACTTAACTTTGCCATCCAAAAAAACCGTTAAGTGGGCCCTACACGTTACACGTGTCAATCAACTATTGGATAAAAAATTCAAAAAAAAAAAAGAAAAAGCCTATAATCCTAACCCAGCCACCACCACCACCACCGGCGCCCATGGCCGGCACCCCAACCCAGCCCCTAACTCAACCCTACCATGGTCGGCACCCCAACCCAGCCCCTATCACTGCCTCCTAGACATCGCCAAACCACCCAGACCCCAAACCAGTCAGCCCCCATCATCGTCTCACCGCGCCGTCGCCGAACCACCTAGAACCCAACCCAAACCAGCCTAGGCCCCATCATCGTCTCCCCGCCGTCGCCGAACCACCCAGACCCCAACCCAAACCAACCCAGCCCCCATTATCGTCTCCCCGACCAGAATCCATCGCCAAACCACCCAAATCCAACCCTAACCAGCCAGCCACCGTACTCCTCTACCAAACCCAACCAAAAGTCATCGCCAAACCGCCGAAACCCCGACCCACCCATACCCAAACCCACTAACCGCCCTACTCCTCTCACCCTCACCTTGAACCAAATCGGGGTTCGGGTTCTTTCGTGGGTACGTTTGGGCTGATTTCGGCAGTCAAGGGGTGGTCGGTTGACTGGTTTTGTGGGTCGAGGGTGGTCGGTTGGGATTGGGTGACGGCGGTGGAGGCTGAGTTGGAGAACGGCGGTAGGAATGGTGGCTGGGTATTTTAAGGGTTTTCCTTTTTTTTTGTTTTTTATTTATTTTAATCCAATGCACAATTGACACGTGTACAATGTGGGACCCATTAACGGTTTTTTTGGATGAAAAAGTTAAGTGGTGTTGAAATCAAAATTTTTGGTTTTTTAGTGGTGTTGTAATCTAAGTTTTTTTATTTGTGGTGTTATTATCAAAATCGTGATAATTTTTGGGTGTTATTTTCTAATTTTTCCTTATTATTATTATTATTATTATTATTATTATTATTATTATTATTATTATTATTATTATTATTATTATTATTATTATTTTGAAAGGCACTTGAGTGAAATGGTTCATTCACTAGGTATCTCAGGAATCTATGCATTTTGTGATTCTAATTTCATATCCCCTGAAACTCCAACGCAAGAAAATGAAAATAATTGATGTGACTATTTGGTTAGAGTCTTTGCTCGCAATAATGCACAAAATCGAAACCAAATATTCTTTGCTCCATACACTAATAAGTAAGTAATTTGTTTAATGTGCTTATTATGTTATCATGATTTTATGACTCTTATGATTTCATGTTATTCAACTAACTTTATGTGTAGCATGCACTGGATGTTGGCGGTGATTTGTCCATGGGTTGGATTAGTACATTGGCTAGATCCAGCAGGAGCAGAATTTCAACCTCATCAATTTGCTCTAGATATCATCAATAAGTATATGCATGAGCTTTTAATTGTTATATTGTAATCTTATTAGGTTATTAGTTCTGATATTAGAAGGAAAAAAAAAAACTAAACCAGTCCTTGTGGCAGTACAGGGCAATTTTGAGATTTAACTTGGAGTACCGAGCAGAAATTAAGTGGAATAAGAATTCAGCCATTAAATGGAAACAAGTAGAGGTAATTGATCTTTACTTTATCTTTTGGGTTCACTTATCTATGTATTGTGATTACAATTTGTAAGTATAATTGTATAACTCAAATTTATTATTGTAATAGTGCCCTTGTTAAGATTTCGACTTCGATTGTGGATATTATGTTTGTCGTTACATGCTAGAGACAATTCAATCTAGAAAGTCATATGTACCAGACAAGGTATTACTCTTCCTTAATTGTATGCAGCGGTGAGCTTTAGGTCTTGCAAATTTAGACAACCTACTAGTAGTTTCTAGCAATTTAATGTGATTTTTTTCAAGGTTTAACCGGTAATTTCTTGTTCATTTTCCTGTTTTATTTTCAACTACTATAATTCTTATCTCATTATGTAAAATCATAGAGCATTCTTCTTGTGAATTCATTAAGGACCTGCATTATATTTCTTATTATATATGTTATGAAGATCTACATTTGTATTGGTTACCTAAATAATATTAGTTTGCTGCTATATTAAGAATCTTTACTCTATATAAGAGTGTAACAAAGCTATATTTAGCTCACTTTTCTATATAATCTTGACTGGAAAACTATCACTTAGAAAACTATCACTTGACTGCTTGATTGAAGGATTTTTGGCAATCAAGCAGAATATTCAGAGTACAAACTATCACCCAGAAAACTATCACTTCACTGGATATGCAATCTTTGATTCACAATTTCTACAGGATTCACAATCAGTTAAATTTAACAAAACTAACAGTTTTCAACAAGTTCTATAGCTTTCCTTTTAATTCAGAGTACAATAATCTATGCTACCACTCATATTTTCTATGAAGCTTATTAGGTACCAAGTTATAAGTCTGCTAGACTAATAAAAGTGTATACCCACTACCCAGTTGGACAGTTAGCCCACCTACTTGCCTGTCTAGCTGCTAACACATTATGCTTAAAGCAGAAAGAAATGAAGCAGCCTGATAACACTTGAGCCAGGCACTACAAGCTTGACCAAGAAAAACCCAAACACATGCAATGATTTCAGAGCTTTTTTCTCCCAATATTTTTTTTCTTTGCTTTTTTACCAGACAAGGAAGGGGCTAGAGGGGAGAGGGGAGGGTGGATATTTTTCATCTACTTAGAATCCTAATAAAAACTCTAGATCACCACCAAACAAAACCCCTCACCTATCAAGCAAGAAGATGATAGCCTACAATAGAGCCAATGCTTTTGACATGACTCTGGCAAAACTTATGAACTAAAAGTTAGCAAAAACACAGTATATTACCCTTTATGAGGTGTGTGAAGTGGCTGATACAAAGCAACAACATGCAACAAAAACCCAGCTCATAAAATTTAATGAAGTGGCTCCCACCAAGGTTTCAATCAGTCCATAGGCTTCACCAAGGGCAATAAATATATCAACCCATTTCAGCTTATATAGCTTATAATACAGTCCTTATAACAAACATTATGCACGGAAGCAACCAAGACTCCTAATCGTGATTTTATACATTGTGTCCTAGCGATGTGTATACATGTAAGGATAATATTATGGAAGAAGCCTCCTAATTTTTCTCTGGTTGTTCCAGTTCCTAAGGATAATATAAGTATCTGTTATAATCTGATGGTTTTATAGGGTAGAAATCAGGACTACCACTATATATCTCATTTATATTTATATATATATATATATATATTTTTTTTTTTTACATGTAGTATTTTGACAAAGCTCCTGTCAAATATTCTCAACAAATGATCGACGAGATTCGAGACATGTGGTCTTATTTGTTACAAGACATCAACCAGCCGAGGAGGACGATGATGATCAGCGTGAGTTGTAAGTGGGCAGTACATATTAAGTACCTTGGATATCTTGTATATATTTTGGAATATATTTTGGATATCTTGTATATGTGTTATTTATATTTGGAATGGAACTAGAATGGACTTTTTTTCTGAACAAACTAGAATGAAACTTTTGACCATGTAAATATTTCTGATGAATGAAATTTCTATTTTTTTTTGGGAAAGTTGTGCAGTTGTATTTATTCTATAAGAAGCAGGTTGTATTTGTTTTTAAACAAAGCAGGTTGTATTTTATTTTTATTGAAAGCAGGTTTATGCAAAGCAGGGTGTATACAGGGCAATATTGCATTTAAAAAATTACCCAAAAATGGGAAACCAATTTTATTATATTCATTATTTTTTTTAATTTAAAAAAACAAAAAGATCGATGCCCTATTTCGTAAACAAAAATAAATCAATAATCATTTTAATTAAAAAATGAGAAAAAGCTAGAGAACGCCTATCTAAGATAGGCGTTTTTTTTATTAATATATATAGAGCGCCTATCACTAGTTAACCGTTCTGTTTTCCTTGTTTTTTATTCCTTTTTTACACAAAATAGAGAGCTGTTATCTTATACAGGCACTCTATATTGTGTTTGATATAGAACGCCTGAAAGACGCGCTCTATAAATGTTATAGGGCACCCCCTCAGAAGAGCGCCTCACAGGCGCTCTCTATTCCCTATTTTAGGCGTTCTCTAATCCTTATTTTGTGGTAGTGTACGTACTTCATACTCGAGCATCTTTTTTCTTAGATAGTAGATTGCATTTTCTTTACCTTCTACTTCTTGTGCGAGCATAGCTCCTATTGTCTCCTTGGTGACTATTAAATATAATCTAAGGGGGATCCCTGGAAGTGCTGGAGCTTATACGAGAGGATTTGCGAGATAGGCTTTGATCTTTTCAAAGGCTTTTTGACACTCATCGTCCCATATTACTGGCACATTTTTTTTTATCTTCTTGAATATTGGTTCGCATATCGTTGTTAATTTTGATATGAACCTACTTATATATTGCAACCGGCCAATAAACCCTCAAATTTGTTTCTCGGTTTTGGGCGGTGGCATTGACATGATCGCCTTGATCTTGGTTGGGTCTATCTCTATTCCTCTAGAGCTTATGACATACCCTAAGAGCTTGCCTGAGGTGACTCCAAAAGCACACTTTGATGGATTCAACCTCATGTTGTATTTTCTTACCCTTTCGAAGATTTTTCTTAAGGCTACTTGATGTCCTGGGCAATCTTTTGATTCCACAATCATGTCATCTACATATACCTCAACCTCTATGTGCATCATGTCATTGAGTAGGGCAATCGCTGCTCGTTGGTAAGTAGCACCCGCTTTTTTCAACCCGAATGACATTACCGTGTAACAGTAAGTACTCCATGGTGTTA